AGGTAGATGATATGATGTAAATTATATTATGAATTAATGATGTAGGAATGAGATATAAATATGCAATAAACTTATGTTATATGATAAATATGAACATATGAGAATAAGAGATTAGATAAGTGAATTGGTGATAGAAGCTATATGACCATGGATTAGGTAAATATGAATAATTTAAGTGATATGTAACTATGAGTATTTGAGTATGTATCCATGTGAGTTGATTCATGAGGTTATATGAAATATTATACTATATGACTATGTGAGTATATGAAAAGAATATAGGTACATGCAAGTTATATCGAAAGGAGTTGTGTAACCATGCTTGATATGTATTACATGTATGGGAATATAAGAGAATAAACATAAACTATATGAAAAGATATGATTCATGTGATGTGAACCATGTGAATATATGAGAAAGTGTATAACTTATATGTATTACATGATGTATGTGATTTTACAAGAATGACATGAGTTATGTGATTACATGATTATAAGAGATCAGGCATGTGATAAAAGATAATTAATATGCATGTGTGAATATGAAATGATATAAATGACAAAGCCCATGTTATGTGTCATGAGAGCTAGGGGTATAGTTGGCATGCCAAGAGTCGAGGGTCTTTGTGGTCCTTCGGGACATATATGTATTCTTTGGAACATGTGTGAAGTCTGGTGAGACACATACTTGATCCTTGGCATATGTATATGATTCTTAAGGAATGATATGTAGTCATTCGGGACATATATGTATTCTTTGGAACATGTGTGAAGTCTGGTGAGACACATACTTGATCCCTAGTATATGTATATGATTCTTAAGGAATGATATGTGGTCTTTATGGACATTATTATATGGCACTACGGTGCAATTCTACGCGGCACTACGGTGCAATTCTATGTGGCACTTCGGTGCATTTATATGAGCTGTGGTGACAGCATTAGTGCACAACCTCCATAAACTCACATATCTATAGTTCTCACATATGTACATGGGCTAATCAAGAGATATAAACAATATATGTTAGTGATATGATAAATGTTATAGAAAGGATATGATGTTGTGTGTGTAGAGTGTTTGATTGAAAAGGTTAAGCATAAAAGTATGTGATTACATGATAAACTGTTAATGATGATTATGTGTATGTATTTATTTATTGTAATTAATCTGATATGATTTTCATGATATGAGGGAATCATGTAATTTGGTATAGCATGATAGAACATAACATGCATGTATTGATATATGTTATAAAGTGCATTATAAGTTTTTATGCCTCACTAAGTCATAGACTTAGCGTGTGCTTGTTTCACACGTAGGTTACAGAAGCTAGAAGAGAAATGAAGAAGAGTAAGACATGTCAGCATCTCCCTTACAAAATTTCAGATCAGAAAATAGAGGATTTAAATGTATTTGGTTATTTTGAGTATAGTTGGCATGTACTAATTGGTTGAATTAAGTATGCTCTGATTGATTTTGGTTATGGTGGTCAGTTTATGTAACTAAACCGTTTTTACTTTAATGAAATGTTTAAATTTTCTTTGAATTTTGTCAAGAGTCAAAGTTTGAAAAGTCAATGTGACACCTCATACTCGTATCCGGGTCGGATATGGGTTGGGGGTGTTACATAGTTAGTGCACTAGTCTTGTGTTTAAGATGTATAAAAGAGTGTTGTACAGATTAGTATAATGAATATACGAGGTATTATTCACACGTGTTTTAACATGGTATCAGTTGAAAAGTCTCGTGTGATATCTCACCCTTTCTAATTTTTCCCTTTTTCCTTTACTGAGTTTCATTTCCCCCTCTTTTCGTCCATGGATTCAATCGATTTTACTCATCCTCTTTACCTTCATCCATCGGATACGTCAGGGACGGTGTTGGTTTCGCATCAGCTGACTGGAATCGAGAACTACAATCTATGGAGCCGCTCGATTCGAATCGCGTTACTGGCAAAGAATAAGTTAGGGTTCGTCAACGGCGATTGCACTCGTGGTGATTTCGGTGAGCTGCTGCAATCACAGTGGGACAGATGCAATGCAATCGTTCTTTCGTGGATCCTAAACACTGTGAGCGCTGATCTCTTAGTGGGATTGGTTTTTCCTTCTACGGCCGCGCATATTTGGAATAATTTGAAGGAACGATTTAGTAAAGTTGATGGCTCTCAGATTTTCTTCCTCCGTCGAGAGATTGCTCTATTTACTCAAGGTGATTCCTCCGTTTCAGCCTATTATTCACATCTAAAGCTTCTTTGGGATGAGTACAGTGCGTTAGTCCTTGCCTCATCGTACAATTGTTCTGATGCTTCCCAAGCATTAAATCACGTTCTTCAGCAACTTTTATTTCAATTTTTAATGGGACTGAATGAAACGTATTCTGCCATTCGAAGTCAGATTCTCCTTCTGGATCCGCTTCCTTCAGTGAATTGGGTGTATTCGATGGTGGTTCAGGAGGAGTCCCAGCGTGGTTTTTCTTCAGGAGTTTCACCACTGTCTGATACAGTTGCCATGTATTCCAATTCTTCTAATTCTCGCCGAGGACGATTTAATGGAGTGTATAACTTTTGTAAGATCTGTGGCCATAAGCGTAACCAGTGTTATAGACTCAATGGCTTCCCTCCTGACTTCAAGTTCATCAAGACAAAGAAAACCTCCTCTGCCAGGGTAGCTAATTCGGATCAGGCTGTTAATCCTTCGGAGTCTTCTCCTTTGGCTCCGATGTTCACCTCGGATCAGTATAATCGTTTGTTAGAGCTTCTTAACAGAGATACTCATGACTCTGGTGATACTACTGCTGCCAATTTTGCAGGTATGGTTCATGATGGTTTACTTGCTCCTATGAATAATTATGTTACTTGGATTCTTGACACTGGAGCTACTGACCATATGCTGTCTAATTGTGAATGCTTGAGTAATCCTGTTGAATGTTTATCCCATTTTGTTCATCTTCCAAATGGTAAAACCCTTCCTATAACACACGTTGGTTCTTTTTGGTTTGATTCATCTCACTGCCTATAGAATGTCTTATATGTTCCTGTATTTGCTCATAATTTGTTGTCTGTCTCAAAATTGACCATTGACTTAAATTGTGTTGTTCAATTATATCTTGACTTTTGCATCTTTCAGGATCTCTCCAATGGCAAGATGCTGGGGATTGGTAGGAAACAGGGAGGCTTGTATGTTCTTCATTCTTTTGGTTCTTTTCTTAGTATTGTTTCTAAGGTTCCTAATGTGTCTTTAGCTATTACACCTCATTGTATGTCCTCTGTTGATAATAAAACATCCATTTGGCATGCCCGATTAGGTCATGTTTCTTTTCTCAAGTTGCATCATATCTCCTTGAATGATTATAAACTAGATTCTTCTGTTATTCATTCTTGTACTGTTTGTCCTTTAGCTAAGCAAACTCGTCTGCCTTTTCCAATTAGTCAGTCTCGTTCTAATTTTCCTTTTCAGTTAATTTACATGGATTTATGGGGTCTATACAGAATTTCCACTCATGGTGGCCATAGGTTTTTTCTAACAATAGTTGATGACTATACACGAATGACATGGGTTTACCTATTAAAACTTAAGTCTGTTGCTATTATCTCTTTAAGGAAATTTCTTTCTCTGGTCTTTAATCATTTTGAGGTTTTTGTCAAAATCATTCGTAGTGATAATGGGTCTGAGTTTTTCTGCAAAGAGTGTTCTTTCTTTTTCTCTTCCTTTGGCATTGTTCATCAGTCCTTTTGTGTTGATACTCCTCAGTAAAATAGGGTAGCTGAAAAAAAACATAAACACCTATTAGAAGTAGCTAGAGCACTTCGTTTTCAGTCTCGGGTTCCTATTAAATTTTGGGGAGAGTGTGTCTTGGTTGCATGTTACTTAATTAATAGGTTGCCTTCTGCTGTTCTTAACTGGAAATCTCCATATGAAATGTTTCATCATAAGCCTCCTTCTTTGTTACACTTAAAGGTCTTTGGTTGCTTAGGTTATGTTACTCAAACTAAGCCTCGTGACAAGTTTGTTCCTAGAGTTATTCCTTCGGTTTTTATGGGATACTCGGATACTCAAAAAGGTTATTTAATGTTTAGCCTTGTGTCTAAGACTTTTTTTGTGAGTAGGGATGTTCGGTTTCATGAAAATTCTTTCCCTTTTCATTCACCTGAGTTGTCATCTCGGTTATTTCCTTCACAACCTTTTGTCTCTGATTCTGAGTTTTTTGTAATGAATTTACCTCTATCCGATGTGTCTCCTAATTCAGTTTCTCAACAGTCTGCTTCTAGTTATTCTTTTAACGATCCGTGTCCTGCTGTTATTGGTGCAGAGTCTCATCACTTGTTACTTGTCCTTCTTCTAGTGCTCATGTTCATGTTGCTCATGTTGTTAGGAAGTCTTCTAGATTGTCCAAGCCTCCACTTTGGTTAAATGAATATGTTTCTTGCCAATCATCCACTTCTAGTTTTCATCCCATTTCAAATAACATTTCTTATTCTCATCTTCCATCTCACACCCAATCTTTTCTTTCATCCATTTCCATTATTGAACCTACCAGTTATAATGATGTTTTTAATGACCCTTTATGGGTTAATGCCATGCAAGAGGAGATTCAAGCATTAGAATTAAACAATACTTGGTGTGTAGTTCCTTTGCCACCGGGAAAGGTCCCCATTGGATGCAAATGGGTATATAAGGTTAAGTTTCGATCCAATGGTGAGGTTGAACGATATAAAGCACGTTTGGTTGCGAAAGGCTACAATCAGCGAGAAGGTGTGGATTTTGTTGAAACCTTCTCCCCTGTTGCTAAGTTGGTCACCGTACGAACAGTTTTGGCACTTGCCTCTTTGCAACATTGGTCTCTGTTTCAAATGGATGTCTATAATGCATTTCTTCAGGGGAACTTGCTTGAGGAGGTTTACATGCAATTACCTCAAGGATTTTGCAGCCAGAGGGAGAACATGGTCTGTAGGCTGCATAAATCTATTTATGGTTTGAAGCAAGCGTCTCGGCATTAGAACATGAGGCTAACTGAAGCTTTGGTAACTACTGGATATGTTCAAAGTAAGTTTGATTACTCACTTTTTACAAAAAGAAAGGGAACAAAAATAGTAATCATGCTTATATATGTTGATGATCTGATGATTACTGGAAATGATGCTGCCATGATAGAAGAATTGAAAAAGATTTTGCATGCTAGCTTCAGAATGAAAGATTTAGGTGAACTTAAATACTTTCTTGGTTTTGAGATACTTAGATCTAGAGAAGAGATCTTGTTGAACCAAATGAAGTATGCATTAGAGCTGATAGAAGAAATAGGATTAGGTGGTGCTAAACCTGTTTGTACACCTATGGAGCAGAATATTAAGCTTACCACTGCCGGTTATGATTCTAGTTTAATTAAAAATGGTGGGAAGAAGATAGATGATGAAGTGCTGCAGGGTGAAAAAGAAATCTACCAGAGGTTGATAGGTAGGTTGATTTATCTCACTCATACAAGGTCGGATATCACTTTTGTGGTACATCATCTGAGTCAGTTCATGCAGCAACCAAAACGCTCGCACTTGGAAGCAGCTCTTCGAGTGGTTAAGTACATAAAGAAGAACCCTAGTCAAGGGATCTTATTGTCTTCTGCAGGACAATGTCAACTATCAACATTTTGTGATGCTGACTGGGCAGCTTGTTTGATGACAAGGAAGTTGGTTACTGGGTTTTGTGTCAAATTAAGAAATTCCTTAATTTCCTGGAAGTCAAAAAAGCAGAACATTATAGCAAGGTCGTCAGCAGAGGCGGAATACAAAGGCATGGCAATGGTAGCAGCAGAAATTGTATGGCTAAAAGGTCTGTTAGTAGAGTTGAGTGTGAGGGATCTTCAGCCGGCTAAACTTTACTGTGATAGCAAGGCAGCACTGTAGATTGCAGCAAACCCGGTATTTCATGAGAGGACGAAGCATATTGAAATAGATTGCCATTTTATTCGTGAGAAAATACAAGAAGGGGTGATTTGTACAGAATATGTTTCATCTGCAAATCAGCCAACAGACGTTTTAACCAAGGCTTTGGGTACTCAGCAGCATGAATATTTAATTTCCAAGTTGGGAGTCAAAGATGTCTTTAGACTACCAACTTAAGGGGAGTGTTGAGATGTTAAGAGTTAGTTAGAAAGTTTGTTAATTAGTTAATGATCAGTTAGTTAGTTAGTGCACTAGTCTTGTGTTTAAGTTGTATAAAAGAGTGTTGTACATATTAGTATAATGAATATACGAGGTATTATTCACACGTGTTTTAACATAAACTGTCACAGCTGTGAGGCTTATATGTGTTTTTATTTGGTTACAGCTGCCTTGATGTCTGCAATTTATGAGGAAAACAAGGATGAAGATGGGTTTTTTTTTATTTGACAACAGTGGAGAGAACACATTTGGTGTAAATTCTCAGTAGGCCAATGCTTTGTTCTTGACAATGACAGTTTTATAACTGTCTGAAGTTCCTCTTTTTTAATCTCAGTTGTAAATTTACGCTAGTTTTAAGTATGATTTGTGAATGCTTATGAAATTTTAGGAGACAGATCATTTGCAATTAAATTGGAGAATTTTAGAGTTTAGGATACATCCAAATTCAAAGCCTTGACAACTACTATTTTTAACAAAATTATGTTCTACTGGAATTCTTTCTCTGCCATTTACTCTTGACCCATGCTAATCCCATGGATATTCCATGCTTAACTTTCTTGGCTCCCTTCAAAGCCGTTGTCTTAAAGCCTTCTTTTTCTTTGGGTTTCTTGGTGTCCTCTTTCTTGGCTGTAGCGTCCTCGTCTTCCATGACATTAATTCCTCCAGCACCCCATTGATCAGCCCAGCTTGGTGCCTCACTCGCCATGGATCCTTGTTATCCTTAAAGTCAGATTGTGAAACCAATACACACAATAATCATAACCTTGCTTTAAATGCGACAAAAGCAGAAAAAGAAAATTATGAAAACCATGGCAGGCAAATCTTTGCTTGAAGCATAGATTCTTTGTTGGATTTTCGAAAGCTTCTTTCTCTTTTCATGTATATTAAGCTTAGTCTATATCTCGACTTTGATACAGGAAGATAATAAGAGCTTAAAAACAGTATATATCATAAACAGGATCTACAACAAGCATTTGCAGAAGTAGGTTGACTATATTAAGGTTTTGATGTTGATGAACAGGAGTAATGATAAAAAGGCAATACGAAGGGTTTGATGAAAGGGAGAAGTACGCACCTGATGCTGGTGATGATTAACAACGGCTGCCGAGCCTCGAGAACAATTTGATTAAAGCAGCAGATGAACAATAATGAGATTTCTCTCCGCTCAAGAACCACTGGGAGATGGCTTGGTCGCCTTAATTTGCTTTTAAATGACTTGCCAACTCACTTGTTCCCATCATCTAAAGCAAACTCCATTGTATCATCTTCGTTCGTGTTTCTTTTTTAAAATTATTACAAATAATGCATATTGATGATTATAATATTTGATGTCAAATCTCTGTCCCTTTTTTATTCGTGTAGAGGCCTTTCCCTTTCAAACACCACAATTGAACAACAGTAATATTTTTTTTTCCAATAACAATTGAAATTAGTAGTTGTTTGACACCGATTGTATATCTTGAAAGATCTAAAGATTGGTATTGGGCCATTTTCAAGAGTAGAAATGAGTTGGGTAAAATATCCTGCTCTGGTTTGGCAGCTAATTCCATTGATCTAGCAGCCATGAATTGCTGAATATGGATGCCACAATCATAAAAATGAAAGCAGCTGCTTTGGGCTTGGCTTTATTAAATCATGCTTTTCCATTGGTGTTCTTTTCTAGTTGTCGAGATGGATGCCACAATCATACATAAAGCCAGGCGTGGAAATGCCACAAATATATCAGAGGTAAGAGAACTTTTCTTCCATGTGAAAACAACCTAAGAGCTTAAAACAGCAATAAATAGACAACCACAAATACAAGCAATTGTAGTAGGATGAGGAGCTCATAGTCTCATTATGAAGGCCAAGGAAAATTTACAAAGAACGTCATAAATATACTTAATCACGGGACAAGAACCTCAACAAATTCAGTCCAAAGTCGATGCCAAATTCTAAATAGACGATAATGTATACCTACACAGCAAATTGCAAGTTGCAACCCAACCAAATTAACTTGGAGCAACCCATTTAACCAATATGAATCATTGCACATTTCACTTTGATTTCCTGGTGGACTTGGATTTCTTCAGTTTACTGGACTTGTCATCGAAACTAGTCCACATCCACTAGGAATAGCGAAAGGGTATGTTGAGCTCTAGTACGCCTTGTCACGTCGGACATAGGCACCACCAGCAAGAAGCGCCTTCGGTAAAACGTAGTCATCTGGACACGCTTTCATTTTAGGAATCAATGTAGTTCGGGTGCCATTAGATATAAAAAAAAAATTGAAATGGGTATTATTTTGATAAAATTGCCTAAATCTAACCAGATTTTCAAAGCACGGTAGCAAAGCAACAATCAAAATAAAATATTGTGAAACTTTTCAATCTTAAAGTAAGAGTGAGAAAATAACAATTTAGCCAGCTTTTTTTTTTTGTTTTGTTCATAGTATAGGGACCAAAAGTGCTTTTACCGTCACCAAAAATTTACATCTAGTCGTAAAAGTCGTCGTTTTCTCTTATTCTAACAGGAAGAAAAAAGAGAGAAAGAAACAATAGAGTTGAAATGGATAAATGCATCATTGAAGAATATTAAACAATTCTAATGTTTCTCGGGAAAATAATGGACTGGGGAATCTGAAAGCTGAAAGCCGAATGAGAAAATCCTTGGAATACAAGGTTTACAATTCGAAAATGATCTTAGAAACATGGAAATGCTCAAAGCAAACAAAGAATTGACTCAAAAGCTCAAGCTGAGCTCCCGCTGTTAATAACTTAAATTTTGTTCATCATATCCCATGTCACCCCTTCATGACATTGTGATTCCTTCTTGTTTTGCTAATCTAAAAAGGCCTCGTGTGGCGCCCTCTGGCCCGGCCACACAGAAGAGTGTTCCGTGGGATCGGCAATTCATCTCTCCATGAATTTGCAGGCGAGTAAACCCTGAGGTAAAACTGCTGCCCTAAATATTGCCTGGCCCAGTTCTCAGACCTTATATTCCACATCCCCACGTTGTCCAGAGCCATGTAAATGGCGGTCCATGACCTCGGATACACCTGCACTTGCATTCACTCGAACATATCAACAATACAGGCTTCTTCCAGCTGATGCAAGGATGGAAACACAACTATCTTATATACTGCATTTGATTACCTGAGTAGTGCAGCGGGATACCGTGTCTCTCAAGTTGTAGACTTTTCTACTGGCAGGCGTCCATTGGCCTCCTTCCATCCTGATTCATCCAACATATTTTTTTAACGTGTTTTGGTCATACATAACTTGAACCTAGAGAACAAGTATTGGAAAGAACTTTACCCTACAACAAAGAAGGAATAACCGTCGATATGCCATGACTGCACAGTGTCCTCCCAGTTTTGAAATACAATTTCGACATATTCCCGGAAGTTGGCTGCCATGACAGAAGTCTGAAAGTAGGCATTATTTCCTGAAGGAGGCCAGGTAGGAATGCTTCCGAGGTTGAAGACTCCCGGAATCTTGAAGTAATCTGCTAGTTTTAATGGAGTATCTGGTGGAACATATGAGACACCATTGACAGCATACCTCTGTTTTCCATTATTATAAGGAGCAGAGTTTGCAACTATGATGGTGCGGCTTGGGGTGATCATTCCATAGTGGTAGGAGCCTTGGGGATTAGGTCTAGGTCCACTCGCTGTCAGGTTCCGTCTGGTAGAAGGAAAAAACTCATCAGCAAAATGTTTTTAGATTATATTATAGCTTCCAAAAAAGGACATACCGTATGGATCTCGCCTGCATGACCGATGGAGCAATTTGAATTGTGGGAGCCCCAGGAATTGGACCAGAAACTCCCTTTTTAGAATTGCTGTAGTGAAGAATGGCAGTTGTTGTGAGCACGCGACGAGTGAAGCGGGAAGAGACAACAACATAGTAATCCTGCGGCACCTGATCAGCAGTGACCAAGAAAGAACACGACTGCCCAAGATGGATATCGAAAGAACTGTAGGTGTTCTGAATAGTATGAGATCCTTCAACTTCTATGAGCTTCAGCTTGTGCCCCTGGATCCTAAAGTTAATTGAAGTTGAGATCCCAACATTCGATACCCTAAACCTGTATGTCCTACCCGGATCAACCTTGAATGTGTATCCATTCCACCCTCGACCATTAATAATGAGCCCGTCAGGGAAGGGAAGGTTATGACCACTGTCCAAGAAACGTCTCAATACCTGAAGAAACGAAGATCACTTCAGTATATTCGAAGCAGCGGAATATCAATTAACTCAGGTAGGAAAATAAAGACGGATACAGATTTCTTACATAGTGATTTCTCTTATACCAGTCCCCAGTCAGTACAACAAAATCCCCAGCCGGAGCCGGATAAGGTACCGGGATCTTAGGGCGGCTCCAGATTCTGATGCTACCATATCCTCCAGCAGCCTTATGGAATAAAAGTGATGGGAAGTAGAAAAAGGTACCAATCTGATCTTTTACTTGGAGAACATAAGTGAAGTTTTTCCCCGGTCGAATCGGACAATTTGTGCCTAATGCTCCATCCTGCCATGAGTTCCTCCATTGCCGCACTCCATTCCTGAAGAAACAAAAACAGGGGATGACATCAAATACAAAAAAAAGAGAGCATTTCAATCTAGATTCCTTTAGGCGATAAATGTATGTAATACTAAGTAATAATAAACATTTGGCTTCATCTTGTAATTTGCAAAGTCGCCAAGCTCCGTGCTTTAATATAATGTTCAATATATACGTATTAAAGGAAGTTGCATAGT